GGGGGCAGTAGAGTTTCCCTGGTGTTGGCCAGAGTGGCCACCAGGGAAACCTGGGGAGGGCTAGCCTCCCACTAGTTCGAATTAAGGGGCTACACACCCCTTAATTCAAACTAGCTAGTTCGAACTAGGCTTAATCCTCGTGGAAGGAGGATTACCTAGTTCAAACTAAGCGCTCCGTTAGTTCGAATTAAATTCGAACTAACGGAGCACTATTGTAGCGCCTATGAAAGTTAGTTCGAACTAACGTCTGTTAGTTCGAACTAACTTTGTAGTGTAGACATACCCTCACTCTTCTCGCTGATGTAATTGCAAGTAGAAACACAGTTTTCATGGTTAAAAGGAAGGTACATGATAATGTTCAGCACTAGGTCGAGATTCCAAGAAGGGGGAGGTGTCCTTCGTGGTGGGTATAAATTCACGAGCCCCTTTCAAAACCTCTTTGTAATTTGATGAGAGAAGAGCGAGGAACCCTCTACTGGATGGTGGAAAGCACTAATAGCTGCCAAATGCACCGTTAAGGATGACAACGCAAGTCCCGAATTTCGTAGATGTAGGATGTAGTAAAAAACATGATGCAAAGGAGATAGAAGCAGCTGTACATTATTCTGAAGACAGTACTTGGAATATCTCTGCCATTTTGCAAGGTAAGTATTTCGTGTAGATTCTTTTCTGCTATGCAGCAGTATCACTTTGACCTGTTCAGAACACAGGTTTTCGTCTCCTTTTAACCATTCAGGAGCCATGCCGTCAGATGTAATGACTTCAATCTGGGATGTAACAGTGAGTCTTGTTCCTGAGAAAGAAGATCTTGGTGGAGAGGGAGGGGGTATGGTGGCTGTATTGACATTTTGTGTAAAAATGGATACCAGACTTGCCTGGGCCAGGCTGGTGCTAACAAAATGACGGTCACTGCCTCTGCTCAGATTTTCTCCAGTGTCCTGAAGATGAGGACCATGGGGGGAAAAGCATACAGGAGTGCCTTCTTCCAGCTGACCGGAAGTGCATCGCTGAGGGAGCCCTTGCCGAGCCCTGCTCTGGAGCAATATAAGCGACACTTCTTGTTGTTGGTCGTTGCGAAAAGGTCTACCAGGGGCATACCCCATTTGCGAAATATCGCCCGAATCACGTCTGCCCTTATTTCCCACTCGTGCTCCATGGGAAAATGCCTGCTAAGGGAGTCCGCAATTACATTGGCGGTGCCAGGTAAGTATGATGCTATTATGGTTACGTTGTTCTGTATGCACCAATTCCAACACCGCACCACCTCGGCGCACCTCGTGCTCCTCCCTGCCTGTTCACATAATACATCGCCGCTACGTTGTCCATCAGTATTTTTACTCTGAGACCTTTGATATGTGGGAGAAAATGTTTGCATGCATAGAAAATTGCTTGGTGCTCCAGTTGATTGATGTGAAGATGCCTCTTGATGAGAGACCATTTGCCTTGAATTCGTTTGTTGGCCATGTGAGCACCCCAGCCGATGAGTGAGGCATCCAACGTTATTTGTGCCAATGGTTGTTGGTGGTGGAATGGAACTCCCAACAAAAGATTTTGAGATTTTGTCCACCAACGCAGAGATCTTTGAACATGCAAAGGTAGCCATACTGTCTTGTGAATGTCGTGTTTCACAGGAACATAAACCTTCGACAACCAGTGTTGGAGGTTCCTCAGAGGGAGTCGTGCATGAGGAACTACAACGGTGGCAGCAGCTATGTGTCCCAGGAGACGGAGGCAATTGTGAACAGAGACACTCACATTCCCGTTGAGTATGGTGATGAGATCTTTGATGGCCTGAAACGTCTCCTGAGGTAAGTATGCCCTCGCCATGAGGGAATCCAAGTTCGCCCCTATGAACTTTATAGTTTGCGTCGGGGTAAATGTTGATTTTTGTTTGTTCAGGAGAAGAACGAGGGATTTGAATGTGCGTTCGACTATCGCCACCATCTGTGACGCTTCTTGCTCCATGGAACCTTTTATTAAGCAATCATCCAGGTACGGGAATATTACCACTCGTAGCCGACGCAAATGAGCCGCTACGACAGCCAGGGTCTTTGAGAAAGCCCTGGGCGCTGAGGCGAGACTGAACGGCAGAACTCAATACTGAAAATGATCATCGTTTATCACAGATCGGAGAAAGCACCTGTGAGCAGGATGTATGGCTATGTGAAAGTACGCATCTTGTAAGTCGAGAGCAGCTAACCAATTGTTGTATTCGAGGGACGGGATTATGGAATTCAATGTCACCATTTTGAAGCGCTGCCTGTGGAGATAACAATTTAGGCAGCATAGATTGAGAATGGGTCTCCAACCCCCTGTTTTATTTTCCGTTAGGAAGTACCTCGAATAGAACCCTCTTCCCTTGACCTGATCTGGGACCCGCTCTATTGCTCCGATGGTAAGGAGACAATGGGCTTCCTGCCGCAGGAGGCCTTCGTGAGATGGGTCCCTGAAAAGGGACGGGGAAGGTGGGGTGGTGGGAGGGATGGAAGTGAAGGGGATGGTGAAGCCGACCTTTATGACTCCCAGCACCCATTTGTTTGATGTTATTTTGACCCATTGGTGATAATAGGGTCATAAACGATGGTGGAAAATGGGATCTGTGTGCGCAATAACGATTGGCGGAGTTCGCATGCCCTCGACAAAGAAGTCAAACTTGCTGTTTTGAGGCAGACGTGCCGGACACTCTAGTGGTTGTGGGCACCTTCACTGAGGCTGCTGTCTAGGGCAGGATTGGTCAAACATGCGGTTTTGCTGTCTACGAGACTGGTAATCATACTGTCTCTGGTACAGAAAATAACAATGACAACAGAATGGTGGGATGTACATTCCTAGTGTACGGAATGTCGTTCTTAAATCTTTGCCAGTATGAAGTACCTCATCGGTCTTTTCTGCGAACAGTTTAACCCTGTCAAATGGGAGGTCGTCGACTTTGGAGTGTAGCTCCTTGGGTACTGCCGCTGTGGCGAGCCAGGATGAGCGTCTCATAGACACTGCTGTTGCTACTCCTCGAGCCGCCGTGTCTGCCACATCCATAGCTATCTGGAGATTCACTTTCGAGCACGTGTAGCCCTCCTTGAGGATTGTCCGTAAGAGCTCTTTATCAGCCTCCGATGTTCTTTGGGCCAAGTCTGTAAGCTTCGCGATATTATCGAAACTATGGTTTGCCAATAGGGCTGCATAATTCGCAATGCAAAGAAGTAACGTGGCCGATGAGTATACTTTGCGGCCAAATATGTCCAATTTCTTGGCCTCCTTATCTGCCCCTATGTTTTTTAGCTGCGGGTTCTTAGCCCTTTGTAGAGCTGCATCGATGACCAAGGAGTTTGGCTGAGGATGGGTAAAAAGAAATTCTGAGTCTTTAGATGAAACAAAGTAACGCTTTTCCGCCGGTTTCGAAGTTGGAGTGGTTGAAGCCGGGGTATGCCAGATTTCTGCTGCCGACTGGAGGATTGCCTCATCAATAGGGAGAGCGACCTTAGATTGTTGCTTGGGATGTAAATCTGATAATTGGACGTCCTGAGACTGAGCCACCCTCCTAAAAAGATCCTGAAATTCTTTTGTGTCGTCAGGAGGAGAGGAATTCCTCGCAAACACAGCATCGTCTGGGGAGGATGACGAAATATCTTCTGGAGATACAGTATGCGGGTGATCGTCCGTATCCAAAATTTGCCCTTCCTCAGGCTCCGACAGGTGAGCTGGTGCCGAGGGGGTCTCCGGACGAGGTCCTGCCCTTTGACAATCTTGGATTGGAGGTGATTGTCGTGATTCATAAGGAGTCTGGCAGCAGCACAGATGAGAACGAGACTGAGATCTACCATGTTCATAGGATGAACGGTGACTCCTGTAATCCAAGTGCTCAGCAGAAATTTGCCCTTTCCTCAGGCTCTGACAGTTGAGCTGGGGCCGAGGGGGTCTCCAGATGAGATTTTGCCCTTTGACAATCCTGGATCGGAGGTGACTGTCGTGACCCATAAGAGGTATGGCAGCAGCATAGATGGGAACGGGACTGAGATCTGCCATGCTCATAGGATGAACGGTGACTCCTGTGGTCAACGTGCTAAGGGGACGATTGTCGTGAGGAATATCTGCTAGCATACCTCCTGTGATAAAATCTTGGAGAGGAGTAGCTAGGTGAGCGAGACCTATATGATGGTCCCCGGTGATAACAGGGATACCGGTCGTAATGATCAGAGTGACAAGACACTGATCTCCATCGCGGAGAGCGCATTGCATGATGAGACGCTGAATAATCTCTGACGTTCGCTGAATGACGCGGCAAAAGCAAAGATTCAGGGGAAAAAACTGGTGACGGTGAAATCGAGTGCCTTGGCATTGATTTTCTAGCCGCCTTTGTAGGGACCTTAGTTGTATGAGCAGATTCATGTTCTTCTGATGGTAAAGAACGGGGGGAGAGAGGAGGGTATTGGCCCTCCGTCTTGTGCACTGTGCTACCGTGCCGCTGTGCTGGAATCCCACACGGCACTGTGGGCAGCTCTGTCTCTTCCGAGACTGTTGACAGAGAGCGACTTCTCGGTGCCGACTCAGTGTGCTGCGGGGAGCTCAGCCATCGGGCCCATTCGTACTCCTCCCCAGACTCGTCCCTCATTGCCGACTCCGGTGCCAGCTCATCGGTGCCACTTGTGGTGCCGCTAGAGTCTGCGGCTGCACGGATGTTGCCGGTTCAAGCACCTCTGGCGGTGCCGATCGCTCGTGGTGAGACGCCGAGCGCTTACAGGGGTGAAGAGCCAGTGCCGATGCTGACCAGCTCGGAGGTGCGGGCATAACCGATAGTGCCCGGTATGATCTCTCCGGCTGTCCCATCACTCCGGACGTACCCAGCATGTCTCCCTAACTAATCCGGGACAGTGAACCGGCTGGAAGAGAGCGCGTAGGAGAAGCTTTCTTCCTTTTTGGCAGCAGATTGCGCTCTCCTTTTCTTCCCTGCGGGAGGTTCTGAGCCATGATCATCAGAAGGCTGTAAAGCCTTCTCTCACAGCAGGACTAACCACATGTCTCTCTCCCTGCGTGCTCTCGGTGTCAATTTCATGCAATGGGCGCATTTCTGTGGGACGTGTGATTCCCCGAGACATCTGATGCATGTCACATGCCCATCAGATGCAGGCATCGCGTCTTTACACTGAGTACACTGTTTAAACCCAGGTGACCCAGGCATGATGCTCAATCAGCATAACTATATACAGTGACTAATCTAATAAAACTAAGAAAACAGTAACTAGACATTTTTTTTTTGCTTTTCTGAGCAAAAACTAACTACTAACTAACAACCTATAAGTACTAGAGTTAAACTATTTGTGTGGTGTTGTTTTTTTTCACAGAATAGCTTTTTTCT